CCCACTGTCAGCCTTCACGTCATAATGTCGGTCTCCACCGCCTTCTAGGATGCATCTACGTCGTCCTTTAAGTCGGTTTGATCCAAGGGCTCACGATAGACGCACCGGCCTATATATACCAGCCCCTACCCCCCTTCCTTAGGCCATCCCTAAAATCCTAATTCATATCTCTCATTCAGAGATCAAGATACACCAGGAGGATTAGGTCTAGATTCTCCAATGTAGTAGATTAGTAGTTCAGGAGTGAGGGTTGAGTTGGGCTTATGCTCAAGTTCTGGATCTAGTCTTAGAGGCTCGGTGAAGCCTTGTATCTTCACTTCTACATCTTGTAAGACTTATTATCAATTCATTATATTCCTATTTACATGGCTATGCTTACCTTGAATATATATCTTGCTTAATTAAGATTATCATTGCTTTTGTGTGTGGGTTCATAGAGCGCTTAGCTTGCTATAGTTTATCGATTGGGCTAAGTTGCCGAGCCTCGTATAAGCATGGTGCTTATACGATGCTCTGCCTGTGAGTACACCCTATTCTCTGGTTGTGTGGTAGCAGCGGGAGGTGACAGCCCCATCTATCCTTTGTAGTCCATGCCGAATTGAACATGTTCTTAAATTGTAGGACCGTAGTCGCGTCAGTAGAGTTATCTATTATTGATGCTCTACCGTCTAAGCGGTGTCCCGAAGTGCACAGGAATAGAGTTAGTCTTAACTATAGTTGGATGTATATATACTTTGACAATGTAATAGGAATATCATAGGAATCTACCTCACCCGTTGTTCTCTCTAGTTGACTAATTTACATTATCTTAGTGACCTATCCTCTGAGTGTCATTATGCTTTATTCCTATCATTACATTCACCCCTGCTTTACCTATGCTGGTATGTTGATAGGTAGACATTACTTTATTACTCAATAAGTCTTTACTCTATTGTTTCCCTGTGGTAAAATATAAATAACGATACCTGAAAAACTCCCGGTAAAATGCTACAATGGTATTATGTGCGCTTGTGGAATCCTTCAAATTCTATTTGTGTTAGTAAATACCAACATGCATTTTTGTGAATCTCACAGTGAAACAGAAACACCAAGTGCCTCTAGATGCAATCACTCAAGCAATGCACTTGGATTCTCTCCCAATCTCACAAAGATGATGAATCAATGATGGAGATGAGTGGGAGGGCTTTGGCTAAGCTCACAAGATTGCTATGTCAATGCAAATGGCCAAGAGAGTGACCTTGAGCAGGCCATGTGGCTTAAATAGAGGCCCTCTCAAAATAGAGTCGTTGGCTCTCTGCCCTCAGCTTTCATGGGGCGACCAAACGCACAGGTCACGCCGACCGGACGTAGGCCCCCAGCGTTCAGTCGCGGATATTCGTCCACGTGTCCCCCGAATTCAACGTCAGCCGCCTGATCCCAATGGTCGATTCTCAGCGCCCTTGCGGTTAAGTGATGACTGGATGCGCCCAACACGGGATCGGACGCGCCGGTGCCAGCCTTGCCCGCGCGTGGAAACACATGACCGGACGCGCCGATCAACCGCGGTGCCCGCGCGTTAGGTCGTTTCCAGAGAGCTCCCCGAGCGCCTAAATGTCGACCTAACGCGTCCGATCTCCACTGACTGGACTCACCTAGAGTCAGGTCTTCTCCACGCTCACTCAAACCTCAGACGTCAGCGTACGTCTGCCTAACCAGACGCACCAGCGTCGAGTCAGGTCACCTTTTACCCCAGCGTCCGGTCATGCACCAGACAGAGGCCGAGCACGCCAAACTTCATTTTATAATTGACCGGACGTAGCACCTCCGAGTCCGGTCACCACGTGACCTACGTCCGATCACTGTTTCTCAGTGAAAATCACCTCCTTTACTTCACCAACTTTTTCACCTTTGCTCAAATATGCCAACCACCAAGTGTATCACCTTGTGCACGTGTGTTAGCATATTTTCATAAACATTTTCAAGGGTGTTAGCACTTCACTAGATCCTAAATGCATATGCAATGAGTTAGAGCATCTAGTGACACTTTGATAACCGCATTTCGATACGAGTTTCACCCCTCTTAATAGTACAGTTATCGATCCTAAATGTGATCACACTCGCTAAGTGTCTCGTTCACCAAACCAAAAAGCTCCTATGAAATATCACCTTTGCCTTAAGCTTTTTGTTTTTCTCTTTCTTTCTTTTCCAAGTCCAAGCACTTGATCATCACCATGGTCACACCATCATCATGATCTTTACCATTGCTCCACCACTTAGAATAGTGCCACCTATCTCATAATCACTTAGATAAACTAGGTTAGCACTTAGGGTTTCATCAATTTACCAAAACCAAACTAGGGCTTTCAGCTACCTAGTGCTAGATTAAACAAATGTGCACCACATTCTTCTCGCTGGACTCGCCTAGGTCAAGGTATCCATCCATGCCCCCCTTTATAGTACGACCAAATGAGAAAACAAAGTCCTAAACCTAATCTAAGTGTCTCTCAACGTCAACCGACACTTAGAACTAGTTCATCCTTAACCTTGTCGTCCATCCTTCGAAAACCGAAAACGATTTCCATCAATAAGGGGCATGAAAATCATAATTGTCCAATCAATCACCATTACGATGACCTAAAAACTGCTACTCCATGACATGGGCATGGGCTCATGGAGGTCAAACAGGCAGACAACGATGCAGTATCACGGATCCAAGTCAAAGAGGAGGAAGAATCTCATGAAGCGCTACCAAACGTACGTGTTGAGGAGCAGACCGGAGTTGGACCTGGAGCATGGGAAGCTAGTTTGAAAGCACTACTAAAGAGGTTCATAGTACAATATGGCTCATCCTTACACCTTTAGATTCCCACTGTCGTCGTTAGCATTCTAAACTCTTCATATCCATACACACTAACGCTTGGAGAAGAGGAATCACATGATATTCGCATGCTTAATAGATTAGGATGTATCATAATAAACAAAAGGGAGAGAGTGAAAATTTGTGCAGTGCCATATATAGAAGTCCATGCAAGTATCATATATGGTCGATGCGAAAAAAAAACAAACATGCAAATGTGAGAGCACAACAAAAAGATTTGCATAAACCTGATTTTCATCCGGTGGCCTAAGTTCAAATTGGGTAAAATAATGTACTTTTGCTAGGATGCTACATACCTTTTGAATTTGAATAATGAAATCGCTATAGAAAGAATTGTAACAACACAGTGCGCTTGGTAATATGTTTTGGTAAAATATGTTATTTGCATACATTCTTTGTTGATTATATGTCTTGCACTGCACTTACAACTGTAAGCCTGTCTTTGTTGTGTGCCAATGCACTGTAACTACGTATTTCAGCCCTGCTAGGCAGAGATCGTCGAGACAACGCTGCTCAATAAGATCTCGGTAACCAACTCAAAAAACGAGACTCTGACATAACAATTAATGAGTGGTGATCTCTGTACTATTTCCTTAACTCTATATTATAAGATGTTTTAGTTTTTCTAGATATATAGATTTTGCTATGTATTAGATATACACTATGTATAGACAATATATTTAGAAAAGACAAAACATCTTATAATTTAAAATAGACGGAGTAAAATAGAAGCCGTGCTAATGATGAAGAACCCACATCTGGAAGCTTTAGCAACCGGATTTTCCCATACTCTGTTTATACTCTTCTTGAATGGCTTGGTGCTATGTTTCAGTGCTGCATAAGTAGCCATAACTTCTACTGTGATTTAGTTTGGGAATTATATACAGTTAAAAGTTCTGTTTGGCTCTAGGTAGAAGTCCTTGGTCTCACTTTGATAACAAACGTGCAGGATCGGATCATGACCAAGATCAGCATTCAGCCATTCAACCGGGCTGCAGCTGCAGCTGCAGGCATACCGAGCTACGGGTTCGAGCGGTCTGCTCAGTTGCTACGGGTTCCAACTTCCAACGCGACGGCACCGCCGCACGCACGGAGGCACGTCCGCACGTATATATCGCACGTCCCCTGGCCCTAGATCCCCGCTCCGCCGACGGAGGCAGCACTGGACGGAGGTGGGGGATCCGCCGGCAGTCAGGCAAGGGCATTTGCCCCGTTCGCTCGGCTGCCATGGCTAAAAAAGCTGATCACTGAAAAATACGACTTATAAGCAAGCAAACCAGCCGATTAGTGTCGTCATCGGTTCACGACCCTTTTCCCTCAAATCTTTCACAGTCCTTGCGAGCCACGGTTAATCATGGGCGGGCGCAGGGCGCGCCAGCGGCTTTCACTTTGGCGAGAGAGGGAGAGCGCCGACGCGGCGAGGTGGGCATCATTGGATGCCTCCGCTCCGCCGTGCGGTGCGGTCCTGCCGCCGTCCTGGGGAGACGACCGACCCCAACCTCGTACCGCCTGCACTGCACGCCGCACGCGGGATGCATATGGCCTGCGCTCAGATCCCGCCCGCATCTTTTCTGATCGGAAAGCGCTCGTCGCTCCTCTCCGCCCCTCCTGCCCTGACGCTCCGGTCGTGCCCTGTCGGCTCGGCTGTGCTGCCTGTACACGCGGGAGACCTTCCTTGTGAAGGGGACAGGGTCGTCTGGTTCTGGCAGTTTGCGACACAGGAACAGGAATTTCGTAGCCTCAACCATCGAGCATTTGGGCTTCCAAACAATCAGCGCCCTGTTCGCTTGGCCCCTGGGGTGCCTCCTTTCATTTCATCACACAGCGAAATTTCCATTTTTTTTGGCAACCAAAATAACCGATGAAATCAGGGAAGCTCAGGTTCATCGAAGAATCAAAGTTGCCAATAACCCTTTCAAAAAAAAAAGCAGAAAATAAAGAATGCCAATAACAAGCTGAAAAAGGAGGGCTTCCATTGCTAATGACAGACATGGACGTTCACAAATTTTGGGCTGAACTTACTTTAGCTAAACCGCAAATTTATTTCCAGGTATTTACACTGTTCTAAGTTCCTTGTGGACGACGAAACTAGGCACCGGTGGATATGATACGCGCGACTACATACACTAGACTACACTTGGGACTAGCTGCTCTGCAAAGGAAGAGACGGGCCAACGGAGGTACTGAGATTTTTACAGATATACTGAGATACACCATACAAAAGAATGCCGGTATTGACGTCGCTCAGATCCATCATGTTCTGCAGGCCACTAGGCTGAACGCTTTCTGCTCTCCACTTCATCAGTGCCATTGTGGTGCTGAAGCCCTGCATCGGATGGATGAGATGAGATGAGATGGCCTCGGTGAGAATGCACGGATTGTGAAAAGCGCGTATTTGAGAAGATTGCAGTGAGACGTAGTAAGATGGTTTTTTTGGTGTTCATGATGAGTAGCATACTTTGGCTTTCTTCCGCCAATCGATGAGGCACTGGCAGTTGGTTTGCTTATCATTCGTGATGGCCGACGTGGTGGAGGTGGCGCGGGCGGTGCTGGTGGCTGCAAAAGTGAGTATGGCAAAAGGTCAAATCTGATGTGAAAACATCCTCACCAACAAATGAATATCTTAGAATTCCATTTTTTGTAGATAAAGGAAGCTTTATTTCGAGATGAAATATTGCTCCAGCCTCTGTATCTTATAGATTGGAATTCTAATAAGTTATAATGAGAATATGCTGTGATGTGTAGAAATTCATACATTTGGAGCCCTCGCCTTTAAGTTTCCAGTCTGCAAAGGAGTTGTTGTTCTCTTTGAAGTGGATGCTCGAGATTGCACTGTCGCCTGAACGCCCTACATAAAAGTTGCCAGCAGCTGTTAGCGAGCACGATTTTACTGTTCATGCAAGATTTTACACTACTTCCACTACCCCAGTTCAGCTATAACTGTTTCCAGAAAGATGGTTTGCTAAGATTTGGTGGCATGTGGTAACCTATGACATGATAAAGGATTCTTAGAACCTTTTGTCCTGGAGCCCTAAACTATGCAAAACCCAGACATCCAGCAACACTGTTGGGCACATCAGTATAGCCAAATGATCAAACTTATGTGTTTGCCATGGCCTATGGCTACTACAAACAAACATACAGTTGGACTGATAGGATTTATCAGCATCCGGCAGACAACAGAAATTAGCCCCTGGATTGAAATGTATTGTTTTTTGGTATGGTAGTAGGAATCAGGAGGGGGAGGAAGTTCTGGACTTCGCGATAGCTTTTGACCTGATGATAGCCAATATTTTCTTTAGAAAGAGAGAATCTCATCTAGTGACCTTCAGTAGCGGACAACACTCTAGCCAGATTGACTTTGTCCTCGTAAGAAGAAATGACAAACGGGCATGCTTGGGTTGCAAGATGATACCAGGGGAGTGTGTTGTTTCTCAACATAAGCTTTTACTGGCAGACTTTCGTTTTCAGGTGCGTGCCCGTAGGGATAAACAAGCTAAGATTGAAAGAACAAAGTGGTGGAAACTGAAAAGGGAGACGTTAGAGGTATTCAGGAAAAGAGTTATCAAAGAGGGCTCTTGGAAGAAAGAAGGGGACAAAAAAACATGTGGGAGAAGATGGCAACTAACATTCGGAAGGTGACCTCAGAGATGTGTGGAGTAACCAAAGAAAGTGAAGGATAGGCTAAAGATACTTGGTGGTGGAACGAGGAAGTCCAAAGGGCTATTAAGGAGAAGAAAGAATGCTATAGACGCTTGTACTATGACAAGAGTGTAGACAACATAGAGAAGTACAAGGTGACAAAGAAGACTGCAAAGCGAGCTGTAAGTGTAGCAAAGGGTAGAGCGTACGAGGATCTTTACCAACATTTGAGTATGAAGGAAGGAGAGAAGGACATTTATAGGATGGCTAGGGTTCGTGAGAGAAAGACAAAGGACTTCAACTAAGTTAAGTGCATTAAGAATGAAATGGAGCATCTCTTGGTGAAGGAGGATGAGATCCGACATCGATGACAAGAGTATTTTGACAAATTGATCAATGGTGAGAATACGGACACAACCTTTCAGTTGGATGACTCTTTTGATGACACCAATAGGCGCTTTGTGCGGAGAATCCAAAAATCTGAGGTCAAAGAGGCGTTGAAAAGGATGAAAGGAGGTAAGGCGATGGGACCGGATGGTATCTCAATCGAGGTGTGGAGATGCCTTAGAGACATAGTTATAGTATGGCTAACCAAGTTGTTTAACCATATTTTTTGATCGAACAAGATGCCTGACGAATGGAGGAGAAATATATTGGTACCGATCTACAAAAATAAAGGGGATATTCAAAGTTGTACCAATTACAGGAGAATTAAGTTGATGAGCCATACTATGAAGCTATGAGAGAGAGTTATCGAGCATCGCTTGAAAGCAATAACGCGGGTCTCTATGAACCAATTTGGTTTCATGCCGGAAGGTCAACCATAGAAGCCATTTTCTTAATAAGACAAATTATGGAGCGGTATAGGGAGAAGAAGAAGGACCTACATATGGTTTTTATTGACTTGGAGAAGGCTTATGATAAAATACCAAGGAATGTTATGTGGTGGGCTTTGGACAAACATAAAGTACCAACGAAGTACGTCGGACTCATTAAGGACATGTGCAATAATACTGTGACTATTGTTCGAACAAGTGATGGAGACACGGATGACTTCCCGATTAGGATATGACTACATCAAGGGTCAGCTTTGAGCCCTTGTCTGTTTGCCTTAGTGATGGATGAGGTCACAAGGGACATACAAGGGACATCCTTGGTGTATGCTTTTCATGACGATGTGAAGTGCTAGTTGATGAAAGTCGGACAGAGTGAATCGTAAACCGGAGTTATGGCGAGAGACTTTGGAGTCCAAAGGTTTTAGACTCGAGAGAACTAAAACCGAATATATGAGATGTGACTTCGCACTACTACTCGGGAGGAGAAAGATATTAGTTTGGAAGGTCAAGTAGTACCTAGGAAGGATACCTTTCGATATTTAGGATCATCAATGCTCTGAGAGAGACGGGATATTGATGAAGATGTTAGTCATAGAATCAAAGCAGGGTGAATGAAGTGACGCCTAGCATCTGGTGTCCTATGTGACAAAAGGATATCACAGAAGCTAAAAGGCAAGTTTTATAGGACGGTGATTAGACCTGCTATGTTGTATTGTGCAGAATGTTGGTCTACTAAAAGGCGACATGTTCAAGCGAGATAAGTGTCGCGGAAATGCGTATGTTGTGTTGGATTTGCGGTCATACAAGAAGGGATCGAGTTCGGAACGATGATATACGTGATAGATTAGGGGTAGCACAAATTGAAGAAAAGCTTGTCCAACACCGGTTGAGATGGTTTGGACATGTCCAACGGAGACCTCCAGAGGCACTGGTGCGTAGTGGAATCCTAAGCCAGGATAGTAACGTGAAGAGAGGCAGAGGGAGACCGAAGTTGACTTGGGTAGAGGCAATAAAAGGAGACTTGAAAAGATGGAATATACCCAAAGACTTAGCCTTAGATAAGAGTGCTTAGAAAACAGTTATTCACGTGCCTGAACCTTGATTGCTTCTGCTGGGTTTCAACTCTAGCCTATCCCAACTTGTTTGGGACGTAAAGACTTTGTTGTTGTTGTCGTTGTTGATTGAAATGTATTGTTTTTCTAAAGAATGGATTGAGATATAGTTCACTATATTACCAGATACTAGTTATTCAAAGTAACAGCGACTGCTATAACTACTTACGTGAACAGGGTAAACATTTAGTTGAAAGTTAAAACTGTCAATTTTGTGCGACACACATGCATAAACAAGAGGCAAGAATCATAACTAGATCATGAGCAATTACCTCTTTCTTTTTTGACCTAGAAATGGTTTCAACTGCTGGTTCTCCGGCAGTAGAACTGAAAATTTTCCTTGGAGGAAGGTTAACAGAACTACAAAACCAGAAGTTATAATCAGGAAATATGGCAAAGACAACTTTTACAATCATATTTTATAAGCATCATAAGATATTCCAATATTAATGCAGATTAGCACCTCGATTTCTGCCTGCCAGACACTTGCAAGTCCATTCTTTTTGACCTAGTAGAGTGCCTATCCAATGCCGAAGGTCCCTTCAGTCTGTTGTTATTGCTGTTCAATGAAGCAGGGAAAGAAACAATGCAATCAAAATCCGACCATAAAACTAACACTTTCAAGAATCTATCAATTGGTGTGTAGGAGTAACCTTTTTGTTTCCAGCTTGCTACTTCTAGCAGCATTTGGAGTGACAGCCTTTTTCGTATTGCCCTGCATGAACAAGTAAAATGTTAAGTTTTGCTGCAGTTGAGCTTTCACATGATAACCGAGCATGTGAGTATGCATCAGTCCAAATGAAGATGCTATGAACTAGTGATTGCCTAAACAAAAGATGCTTCAAACTACAAATGCCACATTAGGTGCTTCAGTTACTGTTATGCTGAAAAAGTCGATATGATAACAAAGATCTGGAGCATACCACTGTAGTTGTTTCACCCTTCGGATGAGCCACAGTTGCTCTTGCCTTACAAGGCGTCTTCACATCCGTTCTCAGAACACTATCTCTAGTAATAGCGCGCCTCTCTCCTGTAGAGGGTCGACGTACAGCGGAAATATCATTATGCTTTGCTGCATTCTCTCTTTTGACGGGGAGTCTTTCAGAAGTAGAAGGTCGACGTGGTGTGGTGACATTGGCTTGCTTCTGTGCATGATCTCGGGTGATTGGGCATCTCTCAGCAGTGGAAGGTCGTCGTGGGGTGGAAACAACTGCAGGCAATTGTGAATTCTCCCTGGCAATGGCATGTCGCTCTCCAGTAGAGGGCCGTTGCGCACCTGCTGAGGAAGGTCTTCTGAGACCTGTAAGCTTGCTCCCTTCTGTAGGGCCAAACATCTTCTGGGCTGCTGCATTTGGCCTTTGCACCGGCTTAGCCTTCTGGTTCATACTTGTATTGGGCTTCACTGAACCAGGCCTCTGAAATTATTCATGTAAAATGTGTAATGAGTAACGATTTAATAAACAATCCATATTGGTGGGCATACAAGACAAAACATGCACTCATCTAGTTAGCTGAATACAAATTAGTGAGCAGAGAAACAGAAAAGTTGAGAGCAGAATCAAATAAACACCAATTCACTTGTACTGCTAGTATGTATGTCTACTCAGAAGGTTATAGTGTGTGGAAGTAGAAAGTAGCAAAATTTTATATATAAGATAAACAAATGCAGAAACAAAATCATGGTATTACCTCACTAGCAAATGTGTAGTCCATAGCACTTTTTGAAAGGGTTTTGATGGATTTCGGTATTATCTTGGGACTGTGTTTGAGCCTGGAGTCTTTCTCAATAATTCTTCTAGGAGTCCTTGCAGCTTCATATGTTGTTCTAGTATCACCATGAACAGAACCGGCATTCTGCTTCCCTGCATCCATTTTACTGGTAGAACTGTTACCACGAACAGTTCCTCTAACATCATGGTCAGTTTGCTGCAGGACACCTGATGAAGAAAGATTAGATGAGGAAAGTTCTGTATCGAAGTTTTTGTTTCCTTGGTCATTATAGCACTGCAGTCCGTGCTCTGACGTAGTTTCATGCAGAGCTTCTTCAACATAAACATCCACAGAAGCTCCAGATCCAGTGGGGGTTTCAAGATCAGCACCCTGCTCATCTTCTGCTGTCTGGCTAGAGTCACTACCATCACCACTGTATTCCAGAATAAGTTCAGTTTGCTGGTTTTGCTGCTGTGAAGCCTTTAGTTCCCTGATCTTCTTGAAATACTCTTCAAAATAAGCCTTTTTCTGAGCGACTAAACCATTGAATTTTCCAAATTCTTCAGTGCGTCTGTCATTAGTAAATACAGACCACTTCTCCCACGATAGTGACTCTAACTCAAATCTTCCGAAGGAAATGGAACCATGATCAAGTGTCTGAGATACAGATACTCCCTAACAAAAGTAAAGAAATGCAACAGAAAAGAGTGGTGAGACTACTAGCAGTAATAGTTGCCGAGAACAAAATTGTGCTTATTCTCTCTCTCTCTCTCTCTTTTCCAAAATGAGCTAACTTCACATAGCATAAATAAATTGAACAAAGCTAATTGACTAAAATGTACCATAAAAACTTACTTGAGGACCATCCCGTTCAGTAGATTCTCCTTGTGACAACGAAAAATAAGTTTGATTGACTTCCGTCGCCATTATGTATGGGGTGTCTAATTCATCATAATTGGGTGGACTCTGCTGGCAAACCCTGAAAACATTTGCCAGAACATTTAAAATCCAGGCATAACAGCATAGCTGAAATTTGATCTAAAATGACAAAAACCGAAAAGGAAGTTCAAAGGCGTTGTTTGGTTTGGTGCATCTTAAGATTTCAGAATGCATTAGTAAATCTACAAATAATAGCCAGGACAAAGGAACACAAGGTTCTCAAACTTTTGCACAACACCACACCTGAGAAGTGGTAAAGTGCGCACGGTTCTAGAACACTAATATGAAAGAATTTTCAGTTACTGGAAGGTGGTAGCTAATAGCATGATAAATTTCACCGAGTCAATTCTATTTGAAGCATCAAGCCCTCAATCGCAGCACCTATCCTTTCCTTTTGGGTCAAGGTTTCAGACACTGCGTATTCGAGAAAAAAAAGGTTTCAGACACGAAATTCCAACCTTCCACGCTGCAGGTGGATCCCTAAGCACGAAACCAGATACAGGCATACAGCCGGGAACGACAGTCTTCTTCTCAACAACCCATTCACATGCCAACAACTCAAACGAGTTGCAATCCAAAGGAAAGGATAACATGTACAGCCAAGTAAAACAGAAGACAGAGGAAAGTGAAATGAACAAGAAAGAAAAGAACGTTCCTTTGGCCCAAAGAATCAGTGTTCAGGGCCTTGATTAATTAGGCTCAAAACGTCCAAGTTTTTTAATTTCCACCATCACATCAATTTTTTAGTTTATCTTTGGAGTATTAAATATAATGTAAAAAAAAACTAATTGTAAAACATTTTAGTTGGAAATCACAAGATAAATCTTTTGAAATTGGTTGGTGGAACTAAACACACCGCAAGTAAAACAGAAGACAGACTAAAGTGAAATGATTCATCGAATTGAAATTTTTTTCAATCTAAACGAGGCCCTAGAGCACCGAAACCGAAAGTGTCTATTTTCTATCGCTGAAACTGAGGTTCTCGAAGTTAATAATTTATCACAGGACTGCATATGCAGAATCCAGCAACTTTCAGCCCTACCAGAACAAAACAGGAACACAACTAGCGATCTGTTTGGAGCAAGGGAAAAGAAGAAGAAACTTGGCTTCTGGCCTACACAAGCTGAAATCAGGACACGTTCTAACAAGCTCCGCTGCATCAGTGACAGTGAACGGAGCAGAAAAGGGAAGGGGTGAAAAAAATATAAAGGAAAGAGAGGCCAAAAAAAGGCGAAACTGTCGGTAATCATCAGAAGCCGTCAGATCCGTTAAAAAATGCGATCAAAGCGGGAATTTAAACTTCACCACAGAAAAGAAAGGCAGAGGCAAGAAAAGAGAGGCCACCGAGCAGTTACAGACCCCCCAAAAAAGCTGAGACTGAGAAAAGGGGAGCACTTTTGAAGAGCTGCGGCGCTCAAAAACAAAATTTATGTCAGGCAAAAGCTGAATCGAAGGCCCAGCATCGACAGTGCGTAATTCCAACTTCGCAGCGTCAGAACAAAGAGAAGATCAAACACCAGACCCCCGGCGCAGAAGAAGTGGAGAAAATTACGCGTCGCTGGTCCAAAACTTAAGGAAGTGTTTGGACGAGGGGCATTTCGTGGCGAAATATAAGGCCTGTTCAAATTTGAACTGGATCTCCAAACTTTCCAACTGAGCACCTCGGATCAAAACGGAAGGATACCAAGAACCGCTCATCAAGGCACCAGACCCCGACAAAACTGCTCCACATTGCAGAATTCCGCACCAGCTACCAAAAACACCCGTTCCTCGTCACACAACCAGCCGCCAAAAATCCTCCAACTCCAAGCAGCGTGCCGTTCCACGCCTCCACCACCCAGCGCGGCCTAGTAGTAGAACCAGAGACCAGATAGAACGACGACAGGGGTGGAATCCTCCATTACCTGACACCGAGGACGCCGCATGGGGGTCGGGGGGATCCCGCGAGCCGCTGCGCTGCCGCTTCCGGCTCCGGAGTCCGGACCAGACAAGGCCGCGGGATGCGCACTCGCCCGCCGGTCGCTGTTCACCTCTGCCGCCGCCGCCGCTGCGGTGCGGCCACAGCCCACAGGGGGAACGAAGCGAAGAAAGCAACAACGCTGGTGGTAGGCAGGTGCGTGAACCGAGGCCAAGGCGGGGGCTCTTAAATTCTGGGCGTGATTAGCGCCTTCTAATGGCCGCCGCGGCCGAGCAATTACCACGGCGATTCGTAGCGTGCTCACTAGCGAGAGTGGTGCTAGTAACGCTCGGCGCGCACCCACGCCGGCGTGGGCGAGTGATTCCGGATGGTTATGTGATGAGAACCAAGCCTGGTTAGTTTTACATTTGTTCTCATGGAAAAAGATAAATATTATTAAATGATAGCCATATATAGAGGGCAGCACAGAACCTTTGTCTATAGCATGCTTGAAATGCGAAAACCTTGCAGAAGGCACTTAAATACTACTCCCTTCGGTTTTATATGTGTACCACCATTGGCTGTTGCTAAATTTTTTCGAACAACATTTGTTCAGTAATAAAGTGAAAATAGTACCAATAAATAAATCTGTCAAAAAAAAAGGACAAGAAGCGTGGTTGTATTTGGTTAAGGTGACAGGTAGAATTCCTAATGCCTCTGTTTTTACTCCTGGCGAATGATGCCTAGCAAATTGACCAAGACATGATAAAGGCGATTTTTTTATTTTTAACCTTTTTCTAAAACAAATTCTAAATTTAATACCGTTGTTTTTTTATTTTCAAATCTAACTTTTGGCGCAGCCAAAACACGCTGCCACGCCAAATGCATCGGAGTTGCACGATCTGCCACGTCGAACAACGATTTCCACGTGTAAATCCTTGACGCGCGGCAGCACTGTAGCGCCGAGCCAACCAGACTGGCGCGGTAAGGTGCAATTTAGAAAAATTATATCTTTTTCATATGATCTTGGATAAAGATGGTTTTTATATGAAAATTGTAGCTCTCGACGAGATCTACAACTTTCCAGTTTTGAGGTTTTTAGTTTGAGGTCATTAAGATGATCAAAAAAATTAAACAAAATTTCAGCAGTATATTAATCGCGTACAAGTGCTTGTCGCATTGGAAAAATCGTATCTCCTTTATATAGCGTCAAATGAAGATACTTTCTACATAAAAGTTGTAGCACTCGACGAGATATACGCCTTTCTTGTTTTGAGTTTTTTAATTTGAGGTTATTAAGATAATCAAAAAAATTAAACAAAATTTTAGTAGTATATTAATCGCGTACAAGTGCTTATCGCTTTGGAAAAATCGTAGCTCTCATATATGGTGTCAAATGAAGATACTATCTGTATGAAAATTGTAGCTCTCAACGAGATCTATAACCTTTTAGTTTTGAGTTTTTTAATTTAACGTAATTAAGATGCTCACAAAAATTAAACAAAGTTTCAACTGTATATTAATCATGAACAAGTGCTTGTTGCCTTGGAAAAATCGTATCTCTCATATATGGTGTCAAATGAAGATGCTTTTATATAAAAGTTGTAGCACTCGACGAGATCTACAACTTTCTAGTTTTGAGTTTTTCAATTTGAGGTCATTAACATGTTAAAAAAATAATATAAAGTTTCAGCATCATATTAATCACGTACAAGCTTTTTTCGCCTTCGAAAAATCATATCTTTTTAAAGTGGCAAATGAAGATACTTTTATATAAAAGTTGTATCTATTCATGAGATTTACAACTTTGTAGTTTTAAGTTGTTTCATTTAAGGTCGTTGTCTTTTTTTTTACTGTGTTGAATTAAGTTTTTACATTTAACTTTCTTCCGCTAGGTAGCAACCATTGCGAGGATCTTGTCTCCGATAGGGGTTTCTCTCTACGACTGGCGATGGACCTGCAGTTGCATAGAATAGAGGCAACCTTAGTCGGAGAACCTTCACCACGGTTGTTACTTATCCGGGGTCTTCCGTTGAGAGCCGTTGAAGGTCCCTCTTGACAGCCGAGGATTCGTTGGTGCGGCTTGCATAAAAGGTGTTCCCCCAACACACACTATTACAATCTCACTTATAATTTTATCCTCGCTTTGCATAAAAGGTTAATCCAAAGATGGTGAAAAAAGTTACTAACAGTAGCCATCGTTAATTATAAATTTGGCAATGTCTAATAAACTTCGAATCTTTTTGTTCCTATCCCGTACCCAGGGCCTGTTTGGTTCGTTGCCGCAACTTGCTGCAACGCGGCTGCGGCATGCCACAACACATTTGGCTCATGCCCTACTTGGGGCGTGCCAAATAAAACAGAGGATGCTCTAGTGTATTTGTGCCAAAACTAGCTAAATGTATGGAGGGGAATTTGAGTGCCGCACCTTAGGCGCAACTTCCACTAAGATGGAAATTCATTAATAATTTGAATAAGTTGGTTAATCGAATTTATAAAAGGTTTCATCGATATCTGATGCTACTTTCACCTGCTGCTAGTTTTTTTGTGGAAGTGGCCAGCTTGGAATTTTATTTCGGAGATACTAGAGCCCGGGCTGACCGGATACACGCCCGTGCTTGGCCACCATCTTCGTTTCACGTGCGCCCGCGGGTACGCGGGAAACGCCGCATCTCCATCCCCATTATAAAGTTGTAGATCCCATTAAGAGTTACAACTTTCATAAAGAAAGTATCTTCATTTAACACCGTACAAGAAAGATACAATTTTCTAAGGCGACAAGCACTTATACGTGATTAAAATACTGCTGAAATTTTTGTTTAATTTTTTTGAGCATCTTAGTGACATTAAATTAAAAAACTCAAAACTAGAAAGTTATAGATCTCATCAAGAGCTACAATTTTCATATGGATAGTATCTTCATTTGACACCATATATGAGAGATACGATTTTTCCAAGGCGATAAGTCGATTAATATGCTGCTAAACATTGTTTAATTTTTTTGAGCATCTCAATTACCTTAAATTAAAAAACTCAAAACTAGAAAATTGTAGATCTCGTCGAGTGCTACAACTTTCATATAGAAAGTATCTTCATTGGACACCATATAAGAGAGATACGATTTTTCCAAAGCGACAAGCACTTGTACGCGATTAATATACTGGTGAAACTTGGTTTAATTTTTTTGAGCATCTTAATGACCTCAAATTAAAAAACTCAAAATCGGAAAGTTGTAGATCTTTTCAAGAGTTACAACTTTCATATAAAAATCATCTTCATCGAAGATCATATGAAAAAAGATATAATTTTTCTAAAGTTGCACCTTGCCGCGCCAGTCTGATTGGCTTGGTGCTACAGTGCTGCGACGCCATCGAGAGTGGCGCGGCAAGTATTTCCATGAGAAAATCGTTATACAACATGGCAGATTGTGTCGCGCTGATGCATGTGGCGCAGCAGCATGTCAAACTGGTTTTGGAATTTGTTTTTAAAAAAGGTTAAAAAAAATCCTAAAGGCTACCACTAGCATTTGGTAAAGGTGATGGTACTAATTTTGAGTCGAACAGTTCTGAGCTGTGCAAATGCAAGGACACGAGAGGCCAAGGTACGTTGGTCGAGGATAAGGATGCACAGGGACACAGGCAGCAAGCATGGATCCCAATTATTGAATCTTAGGGCCGGGGAGGAGAGAGAGACAATGACAAATAGAAAACTCACTTTGAGAGTCTTCCTTCCTCAGCATTTCCATTCCCTGTCATGCCACATTGCCATGCCCTACCTAAGCCCCTAAATTTTTCATCATCACCTTGTCAATTTCTGCTGTGGGGGCACTTGCTGGCCCAGCCAGCAGTTCTCTTGTCCCTTTCCTTGATCCTTGCTTGGCCAGGGTAAATGGAAGGTGGTTTTTTTTGTTTGATAAAAATGGAAGGTGGTTATGCCCTGCATGCTCCATCATCATCTTCAAATGCAACACAAGGCAGAATTCAGGTGGGTCCCCATGTTACTTCCCCGGCGCTAAACTTCAATCGCTGGCCCCCCCGAGATTTTTAACGTCCAAGATAAGGCTGTATCAATGTATCATGCAGGTAATCCACTAGACGATGCAGCGCTGGAATGTCGGATCACCACACCAAGTCACCAAGGCCTCTTGGTATGGTAGACTCTAAAAGCTAACCGTGCCTTATACGTCTGGTTAATTGGATTGGACGACGACATGAATGGTGCGATGCATTGGCAGCTTGTTCGTTTCGTCGTAAAGGATCATGGATTATTTACTGTTCACTGATTTGGTATGAGAGAAAAATACTATTCCAATTTATAATTCGCGATCGTATACGAGCAAGCGAACAGGCTGTGGAACGGTCCCTCTTCGTCATCCCGGCCTGGGTGGCGGAGGTTTTTCGTGCGTCGCACTGTAATGCAATGCAAGCCATGTCCGATCCGGCATCACGGCATGCAAGCACTAATCTCACGTGAGCAGCGCGAGATCGGTTGGCTTTCACGTGAGCAGCGCGCGCCGATCCAGTGATCGTGACGGTTATCTTATCTTGTGGGGAAAGCGCATGGGTCTGGTCTGGATCGATATCGGGAGCGAGCGAGGCACGGAGGCAGCGAGCAAGAAAGCGACGGGAAAAGGCAGCCGCGACGCGACCGGAACCGGGAGGACGTCGCCGGGCGCGCCACATGCAGCTCCGATCCGTGGGATGGATGCATGGATCTCTCGCTCAGCTCTGCCACGAGGCGCTGTCGCCCATGTTACCCCGCCGATCCGGCTCCGCGTGCTCCACTACCGCCAGCGTAGCAGGCAGGCGCGCGGGGCGGGAGCGCTGCGGACGATG